TGCCCTCTTTTTTAGTATATATAAGCCTGGCAAGAAAGCCAGGGGCAGATAGATAATTGAGTCAAGCAAACAGTAGGCACCGTAAGTAAATTGTGTGAATCACTGTGAGTTATAGCATGTGTTATAAAAGTTGTTAAGTTTAGAATGACGAGGAGGTATGTACTCACTGTGAAATTACTGTGTATTAAAAGTTTGTATCGAGAAAGAATAAACTGGTTTAATCAAGAAAGGACTTGTATCACTGAAGTTCCTTGGAAAGAATTTCTACCGGAAATTAACAAACAAGCAGATATGCAACAAATTGATGCCAGAGAGTGGGACAGAAAAAAAGAAATATGGAAAGGAGAAGTGGCAAACCAAACTACCACTTAGCAGATTTCATGGCAGCAATACAAGAACAGCAAAAAAACAAAAAAAAGAGAAAAGAAACAAGAAGAGAAATTACAGCAGTTGTTGGAGGAAAGAGAAAAGAAACAAGAAGAGAGATTACACCAGTTATTGGAGAAAAAAAAGAAGCAAGAAGAATGAAAAAATGAACAAGAAGAGAGACTACAGCAGTGGTTGGAGGAGAAAGAAAATAAACAAGAAGTCTCCATACACAAATGGAAAAGATTAGTAACTTTTGAAGTGAATTAAATACATTAAAGGACGATTTACTGTCTTTTACATAGGGGGGGATACATTAACCATGCACCTAATCAGCCCCAGACAACAGGAAGCCCCTTCCAGACCCCCAGCTAAACCCTAATGCAGACATCTTCAGTCCTGCCAGAAGTCACATTTCAGACATGAGTGTCAGTAATAGGGGTGATCTAGTACGAAGAAAGCCACAGGAATTTGATGGGAAAACACCATGGGAAGCATATAGAGCACAATTTGAGCTCCTGGCAGAAATGAATGGATGGACAGAGGAGCAGAAAGCAGTGTACCTGGCAACAAGCCTGAAGGGACAACCACTGGAAATACTTGGACAGTTGTCAGCAGACGACAGGCACAAATATAGAGCACTGGTAGTGGCTCTAGAACTCAGGTATGGAACTCAAAATCAGTCCAAAGTCTACAGGGCTAGGTTTAGGATGAGAGTCCGTGCTAAAGGGGAGAGACTACAAGAGCTTTCATACTTTGGAAAGTATGGCACACAAGGCCTACCCAACAGCGCCACCCAATGTCCTTAAGCTGTTGCTGAGGGATCAGTTTGTATATGCCTTAGACAGTCCACAACTGAAGATAGAAGTAAAGCAAGCACACCCCTCTACTATGCAGGATGCAATGGCCAGAGCTCTTGAATTCGAATCCTACGTTAAATCCAGCACAGGGGTACCAAAGTTGCTACAATCATCAGAATTCAAGGCCAAAAAAGGACAGCTTTCAGAGAAGTTTGAGGGACTTTGCTGGCACTGTAACAAACCTGGTCACAAGAGAGATCAAGGCCAGCAACTTCAACACAGGGAAGATGCATAGCAGGAAAGGCTGCTACCCAGAAAGGTTGTTGGAACTGTGGAGAGCAAGGACATATGAGGAGCCAGTGTAAGAAAAATACTACCAATAAGTGAGCCTTGGGGAAACCAGTAGTGGATGGTGCTGATGGATGCACATTAACCCCATCGTGAAAGTCACAACAAATAAGTGTAAAATGGCAAGCACACATAGTGTCTACGTGACGTAAAAGCTGGATGGCCAAAAGTGCAACTTTGTCATAGATTCTGCATCTCAGCAAACCCTTGTGAATATCAAGGTGCTAGATACACAAAGGAG